GAGTTATTGTGATGGTGTGTTTAGCTGAAGATCAGGCTCAGAACTGTCATGATTTCTTGTTCTTTTGAATTTGCCAAGAGAGTGCACATGTCTCTAGAAGTGCTTGTGTTGTTTTGTAGCTGTGCTTATTAAAGAAGCAGAATTGGACCCAGTTAAAAGATTAGAATTAGGATTGTCGGTGTTTTGAATTGAGAAGAGAATTGTGGAGACTCTAAACTTGGTCTATTTTAATAAGTACATGTGTTAATTTAGAGATGAGTCTTATTTTGTGAAAGAAGAGTTTGAAAACAATTGTAAGACTGGTTCTTGCTATAGATTGTTCATAGTATATAAGCTGCAAGTACTGTTGAAACATAAAGGTATTGTCAGAAACTTGTCAATGTATCTAAATGACTGTAAGAATAAAAGACCTGATCATATCTTGTCATGAGAAAAGTTACACTAGAGATTATTCACATTAAGCAGCTGTGTGAAGATAGACTCCTTTGTACTTGTAGAAGAAAATTTAGAGAAGAATGATGTCTGTGTCTTCATTTCTAGCTTGACTGAAGATCTGTTCAAGAGAGTGAAAATAGTAACTGCAAGTTTGTTTTAGTTGGTAAAAGTAGCTGGCTAGCTGACTGGTCTCTGGCCTTTCTGCGGAGGTCATCTGCTCTACATTGATGTGAGCTGTGTCTGGCGCCTTTGATGGCTTTGGGGAGGGTCCCCAAAAGGAGGTGTGCGCCTTTGATGGCTTTGGGGAGGGTCCCCAAAAGGAGGTGTTGGAATTTGTAGTTGATTCTGAGGCAGAATAATTTGTGTAGTGGAGATTCTGAAGATAAAGTTTTAATGATCTTCTTGTCATTAATTTTGCTGATGCTCCTGTGAAAAATGGAATAACGTTTCAGAATTTTTAAAGAAGTTTGATAGGGAATAAAAGAAGAGACAAAAGTCTAGCACTTGGGTGTTCCTGGCAAACAGCTAAAGAACATGCCACTAGTCCCCGATAGTGTTATGTTTATACTGTTACATTACTGATGTACATTCATGTTGCTGAAGGACAGGATGTATTGAGGTAAGATAATCAGGCACACACACTAGCTGCTTTGTGAGGCAAAAGCTTTTATTGCAGTGCTGTGGTGCATTTTTGTTCATTATATTTGATTCATTTATCTTCTGTATTGTTAAATTGTACCCCTCCCTGCTCCCCCCCCTTTTTTTTTTAATAGTTTAGTTCCAGTTGTGCCCTCCTACTCTGGCTGCCAATCCACCCTGATACCTGCCCTGTTGAATGTTCCCTGTTCCCCCTCCCATTAAGTTGTCAATCCTCCCTTGTGCCAAGCCCCTGCCTAGACTGCCCCCTTTGGAATTCGCCTATTCCTCCAAGCCCCATTGGACCATGTGCCCCACTCTCCTCCCCTTGTATTCCCCATTGGTTTATGTGTTATGTAACTCTGCCTTGTACTCCTCCCCTAATTCTTCCCTATTGATCTATTATTTGTACACGCCCCTTGCTCCTCCCCTGTATATAAGTTGCTGTGCCCCTGTATCTTTTGTCTTTCATCCCTGGAACCTTCAAGAGAATAAATCTCTTTTGGAAGCCACATGGAAGACCTCTCCCTTGTCCTTGCTCCTGCCCTCGATGCTAGGAAGGCAGTGCCATAGAGCATAAGCCCTAAGCTGCCCTGCTGTCATGAGGTGACTTTACCTTTAAGGTGGTTGTGAGAGCTAAGGAAGTTGAAGTTGCTGGGGACTGAAAGGAGTCCCTTCTCCTGACCAATTATTGGTCATTACTGGGAATTGACAGCAATTTTAACCATTGAAAAGGGAGATCAACTTGTGAACCCTACCTTAAGATGTAAAGTCAAGGCACTTTGGCTCTCTTTGTTTCCTGGCTGTGAAGGGTGGCGGAGCTCCAGGCCTCCCGTCCCTGCCCAGGCCATGCGGCCGGGCGGGGGCTGGATTGGGCCCAGCGGCTCCCGGCCGGGAGATGGGGCCTGTGGAAAGCTTTCCCCGGGCTCTGGCCGGGCCGGGCCGATCTCTGGCTCGGCTGCAGGTTTTGCTGTGACTAAATTTACTAGAGACTGCCGAGTGAAGAAGGAGAGGCTCTGGACCTGCAGCGGGCTGGGGCGGCAACCACACTCTCCAGAGCAGCCATGAGAGATTTTCTATCGCAGACGGCTCCAGCTCCTGCACCGGCAGAGGTCACAGAGCCATCTACAAAGCCTGGGCAAGATTTTAAACTTTTCATTTTCCAGATGAGACTTGCAGATTAATCTTTTTTATCCAGAAAAGGAAAAACAGAGTGATCAACATGAAAAGAGACTTTATAAACTACCAGTGACAGGAAAGAAAAGAAGCTTCAGGAAAGGTAGAGAATTAAGAAGGTGCTTTAATTAAGATGAAATATTTTTCTGTTAAAGCTATGGAGATGGACAATAAAGTCCTGAAAGAACTCCTTTAATTCATGACCGTATATAGGGAGGAATAGAGTGTTCAAAGTGAAAACTTCGAGTAAAAAGTAGAGTGATTGTGATATAGTGAAGTGCTGGAAACAGTGAAGCGAAAATTTGAAGCCTTGGGGGGCAATGAGAAAAACTGTTTTCTGGTGAAGCTCACAGAAACAGATGAAGAAGACTTTTGCTTTTGAATAACTCATCCTTAAAATGACATCCCTAGACTCATGGCCCATACATACATCAGAGTGATGTGAAAATGGGAGGAGTGAGCTCTGATAACAGCAGCTCTGGGCAGCTAACATCAGGGCAATGGAAAACTATAACAAAAATAGTTTTCTTGTAAGAAACTCCATAAATTAACAGGAAGAAACTTCTGTTTCTCTACAAAGACTGGTGAAAAGACTGTAGCAGGAATTGGGACTGTTTTAACCATCAAAGTTCCAAGGTTTTTGTCTCTGTTGTCATGTGAACAAGGGAATAGTGGGTAGATAGGGGATGAAAAGGTTTTTCTTGAAGTTTATTCTGGTGTTCTTATTATTGTAGTTTGTCAATAAACTTTCTTTATTCTTTTTAAGTTTTATGCCTGTTTTGCTCTTGTTCTAATCCATATCTCACAGCAAGAAATAAGTAATTTTTTTGTTAGTTACTGGTTTAAAACCATGACACCTGCTTTCCAGGGGCAGCCCACTCTTGGCCCAGTGCCGGGAGCTGGCTGGGGAAAAATCTGGCACCGTGTCATTGTGGGGTTTTCTCAACTTCTGTATCTTTCTCTGACCAGATCACCCTGATTGGTAGAAAGAACAGCACCTCTCTCATCCCATTTGTGGGATAAGAGGGAACACACTAAGAACATCTGTTCAGTATTGTTTTGAGAAATGTAATCTATTTACAATAAAACAATCTTTGAGAGAAAACTGTTCCCAGGAACTCTTCCCCTGGGAAACAGATGAACTGCTGACAAGCTGAAACTCTCTCAGGCTTAGAAATCATGTCTACACATGCATATTCATAAAAGTTCATACATATTCAAACATTCTTGTGAACTGTTTGATGTTAGGGGAATTCTTGTTTAGTTTCCTCATACTCTGGTTTATCTGCATGACATCCTGTGTGTCAAGTTAATATATTTTGTTCCTCCTTGTGTCTCCATCCTGTTGTTTTACGTCCTCTGGTAAGGATTTAGTATGTCTTCTTTAAATTTAACTGGTATTTTCTAATTGTCCTCTGCTGCTCTGGTTTGTGTCACAGTTACCTTATCACTTGCAGAATTCAGTCAGTGGAGAAGGGGAGGTACCGTGATTGCTTTATACCATCTGTTTTGGTTACATAGGGGTATTTTAACACTCATTTGACTTAACTAAACTCATTGTTTAGTCAAGGCTTATAATATCATATATTCACCACACTATTATTTCTATAAGCTATGCAGTACATACTTAAACTGGTAGATTACGTTATACTAATAAGCAACTAAATAAAGGTATGTATGATACTATATCTAAATACTTGTGATCAGTGCAGAAGCTAATATAAAAATGCAGAAGCTAATATCGTATTGCAGTTCTTTTTAACACTCCATATCAGAGCATGCTGATTGTTGCAATGATGCTGAATATTGTCTGGTAGATTAAATAAACCTTTTCAGTAGGAAAACTCAGTGTTTTGCTATGACCAATATATAAAAACTTTTATCAGCTCTTACAAAGATTCCCTGCTCTTTTTCATTCACTCCTACTAAAGTCAGAAATGAGAATAAATTAGGTATAGTTCACTTGAATCACTGTTTTCATTTGAATTTGTAAAACTATTCAAAAATTGTCTTTAGGCAGAGACATGCTTTAAAGAAGTGCCTTTTAGTGAAAGGTAAAATAATGAAAAGGTGCTGATGTTGCATAAACTTTTATTTTTTCGTCCTCATTGCAAAATCCTATTTTAAGGTAAAATATAAAGCAAGAACAGATTTTTTTTAAAAAATTAATATTTAATAATCTCTTTTTTAAAAAACTTTTTCTTCTTTAACTTCTAGAGACAGAGCTTATTTAGGTTTACTGTAATTTTAATACTGAAATTCAGAGTTAGAAAGTTTATCCTACTAAAATTAACTTTGTGAAATACACGAAGCATTCATAATGGCAAAAATGGCATCTCTTCAGTGTGTGATAATAAGCTGCACGATGACTTCAGGGGGCAACTGACAACTCTGTGCTCTAAAATATAATTATATTATTTAGAAAGATTTGTTTTCAATCCTAAATGGAAAAAAAAGGTATAAGTAATATATAAGTAATATTATAAAGGTATAATATCACCTTTTCTTTATTTAGATGAAATTCTGAACAGACCTTTGTAACTCTCACCCTGTAAATGCCACTTTGAACTTTCCTTCACTCTTCTGGGGAATTTGTTACCTTTATACTCAGACATGGACACTAACATTTATTGCTATATATTTTTATTTCAAAAGTACAATAGTAACTTGAAAATGAAATTAATCTTTCATAATATTCTGTCTCAATTTGTGTGCTTGTGATTGACAAGTAAGATCTTTATCTTAATTCAGGTCCTGAATTAAGTTCTAAAACTGATGTACTTGATATTGGAAATGACTATTCAAAACTAAACTGGTAAGCATAATTTGCTTTTCTTGTTCAAGTCTGTGCTCAAACATTATTTAGTTAAGTATTTCAAACTAAATTTAGGTTATAAGCATACTTATTTTAGACTAAGTTGATTCTTAATTTGTGCACAAGACTTCTGCAAAGTAAAAAAAGTCTTACACCATTACAAAGTTCTTAAAAAAGATAACTACTCCAAGGGCTGCTGATATCATCTTTATTTTTTTTTTCTGTGTTAATACAGGAAGGCATTAATATTCCACAATGTCCATGTAGCTTGTTTAATTACCTCCAATTTATAACGTCTACAAACCAAGTGTGTGTTTTCCTTTGCTGTCTCAGAGAAAAAGCTCTGCATAGAGTAGCAGATGGTAACTAAATTTCAGAAAGGAGGTAATTCCAGGCAATCCATACTTTTAATACCTACTTTTATTGATTATAAAAAGAATATATGCCTCCATAATATTTTAATTTTTCATTTTCTTCTATAAAGTGTGTTCGTGTATCTCTTTGAGTAAACTGCAAGACAAAGAAGAAACAGAAAAGAACTAATTTATATGTTACATGTGTAGTCATACATGGACATTCAAAGTACTGCCAAAGTTTCTATCAAGCATTTATTGCCATCCTTGCTCAGAAGGGTCACAGAGGTATCTTTCAGCAATCATGTTCTCAGTAGTAAAATCTGGACTGCTGAATTGCATGTTTATGCTGTTGTTGTCTTCTCTTTCTGCAAAGGGAGTTTAATGAATAGTCTGGACTTGAGTGTACCACCAGTTGTGGTTCCTTCTGATTGTAGTCTATATGATCTTAATGTATTCAAGATGCTCCCTCCCCTACTTATGAACTTTTGTTTTAGTTCAGAGAGGCTATTGCTATGTGCAGACTACTGTTGCACTTTTCAAGCTGCTTTCTGAGCAGCTAACACAGAGATAAAGAAATTGTTATTAAAAAGAGAAGAAATAATTTTCATTTAATAAGTTTTTACAAAAAATATTTGGAGCTGTTTGATTTCTTTTCCTCAGAATTTTATATGATAAAGTGTCATAACTCCACATATCTATTTGGTCCATGTGTTTACTTGTAACTTCTTCCAATTTTCCTTTCCACTTTTCCTGTTTCCAGCAGGATATCAGCTGCTCATGGCTTAGCCCTCACCCTGTGTCTGCTCCACTCTGGATCTCTGCTCACACTGTCAGCAGCTACCCCAGAGAGCTATTTAGAAACTGCAGTGTCTGGACATTGAAGCAGCTCCACACCCAGTGTATTCCCTTCAGAAAATACCACTTAGGCTTGCATTTTCAGGAATCATGCCGGTTTCTTATTGATTTGTAGGTGAAGTTCATGGCAGGAGATAGTTCCTATCCTCATGACAGTTGTAGCACATGGTGCTGGAGGGAATAGTGGGTCAGAGTGTGGTTCTTTACCCACAACATGCTGCCTCCATAGCACACTGTCTTCTGGGGAATGTCTTCTGAATGAGTGAAGAAGTGGGTTTATATTCTTTGGTTTCCAATTTGGGATACACAAAGGAGTAAAAATTCTTCAATATTTGTCCTATGTTTTGTTTTTTTTTAATGAATATTTTCTGCAATAACTATATGTTCATCTGCCCATGTGGGTAAATAGCTACACACTAAGAACATCAGTAACCCAGAGCTGTGCAAAGCTTTGGTGATGCTGCCAGAGTTGTCGTCTTACTCTAGGCTGTGATCTCTCCAGACTTCAGAAATGGCAGGGGTAGCAAGCATGAAAAGTATAAGCAGAAAAGTCCAGGCTGTGATGGAAAGAAAGCAGACAATGTTTTTCTTTTTGGGGTGATTAAAAACAGGAATCATAACATCTCTCATGTCAGAAGGGCCTATGCTCCCAAAGATAACATTTTCATAAATCTTTTCAAATTATGGGGCTTTGATGAGACGAAATTGGTCAATAGCACCTGACATGCACCTCAGAGGAGTCACGAGCACACTTCATTTGTTCATGCCGCTTTATCTGTTTCAGTGACCACAGTGTTTTTAATTTCCGGACCTGAACTGGCACTTGGCATTGCAGAGTGCTGCTAACTCTCAAACCAGTCCCTTGCTTATTTAATTTAATTTCTAACTTTTAATACTGTAATTATCCCAAGGATATCAGTGTGACTAATTTACAGAGACATATAGGCTTCTTTTTTGAATGTAATCATTCAAATCTCTCAGCATACTGGGATGTTCACAATGCAATACAAGAATAGTAATACATTCTGCCAGCAGTGACATTTGATAGAAAATTGGAGGACATATTTAATAAAAATCAGTCTTTTTTTGATGTTGCTTGCTAATACAGACAACAAAAGTAATATGGTGTTAACAATTACTTGGAAGTAATAAAGAGGAAAACAGAAAATAGTTGTCATGATTGCCAGCTCAAAATGCTGAGAAAATTGACAAGTTGCATAAAGCTGTAAAGTGCAGAAAGAACAATAAATCAGAAGAACATGTGAAATTGATCCACTGCTAAAAGAGATTAAACATTTGCAGGATTTCTAGCTTGGGAAAAAAACGTACCAGAGGGCAAATAATGCAATGTTATGAGCTGCCTGGAAAGAGTGAATAGAGAACAATGATTTGAAAATGAAACAAATGCAGGAGACTGATGAAAACTGGCAAAATACAGCATTGAAAGATGTTCCTTAAGCATCTGCTGCTGCTCTGGGAATCCCAGTCAGGATTCAGGCTCTGGGATAGGTGCTGTAATATTCTGCTCCCACTGTGAGGCAGAAAGGTGATAAAATACTCAGCTTATACCAGCCCTTAGGAACTGAACACCCAGGATCATGGAGGAGTTTGAGACAGTGCAGTCCTCTTAATCTAGTTCTTTCTAAATTCTTCTTTAGAGCCTTATTTTATTATTTTTCACCCCTCCAAAAATCCTTCATTTGAAAAGAGAAGTCTTTGTTTAAATAAAAAAGGATTAGGTCAGTGTGACCACAGAGCTGAGCCTTTCAGCCAGATAATTTTAAGTCATCAGCTGAGGTTATTCAAGCACTGTGCTTTTTGCAGGAGGCAGAATCAACTCCTGTTCCCACTGTTTATGGCTTGGATCAAACATCTGTGAACAGGCTGCTTGTATTATTCTGGTCTTGTCTCTGGCAGCACCTTGTTTGCTCAGGTTGTTGGACTGCTCTGACTGTAATTGTCTGAGTATTATGAAAAGTGGGTTTTTAATAATTAACTACCTTTATTTATTACTGTATTGTGTAAAATCTACTGCTGAAATGTGCTGTAATCTGTAATACTGTGACTTCATGACATACCACTGAATGCCTGAAATTGGTGTAGAGCTCTGAAAATGGGTTTTAAACATACAAGGGGAAAGACAGCTAAGGGAACTTTTCGAATATATGAAAAACATGTTTGTTGCCAGCTATTTAAACCAAGACATGTTTTTATACTTGTATTTATATGTCTTATTTGTGTTCTGGGGGAATTAATTCTGTTTGCAGCCTCATTTTTTATCTCGGGGTTATGAGGCTTCTTTGCTGGGAGTACTCTCTGTAGTTACAACAACTCGGAACATTGCAGAGTTACCTGTCACATTTTGGAGTAGCTTTGTTTTATTTTCACGTGACAGTGTCTATTATCTTAAAGAGTGTAGGAAAGAAACTAGAAATAGTTTTTTGCTGGTATCAGTTCAGTCTCCCTTAAATTCATCATGAGAAACCTCTATTTATTGTGCAGAATCTCTGCCCAGGGACTCCAGAGTCAGAATCTCTAGGGGTAATGAAGGGATTGGCCTCCCCCAGTAAAAATGTGTGTAAATCTTCATAGCTCTAAAAGTCAGGAAATCATCGAGAGAGGCAAATTTTGCTGACAGAGCCAAAGTCAAGTCATTTTTTAAGCACAATCAACACAAGGCATTTCCACTTGATGTTTGATTGTCCATTGGGATCTCTCTTCTTTGTACAAGAATGTGAGACAGGGTGATTATACAAGGATATATACACAACATTCAGAAAGCCTGGAAGATAATTTTTCGGAGCTTTCTTTTTTTTTTTGTAAAGTAGAGGTGTGGAGAAGGATGGTAATCTGCATGGTTAAGAAGAAACCAATTTTTATCTCAGGGTAAACTTTTTGTGCCAAGTATAAATCAAGAATGTGAATTAGAAAATGCAGCTATTGTTAAATGAATATAGCAGGAAAAGTAAGAAAAAGCATGAGAGAGAATCAGATACATTTATGATAACAATCTGTTTTATATTGCTGTTTTATATTGACTGATAATTGGATGTCCTAGATAGATATATGTACTCATAATCATTGATATACTGATGCATATGTCTACACACACTGATGTGTATGGGTTATTATCAAAATAGTAGTGAAATGTGTTTGAACTTTGAGTCTGACTGGATTATAGACCTCACGTTCTGAGTTACCTGAAAGTATAAGCCTTTGTGGATTGGGCTAAGTGTAGTTCTGTTAAATAAGAAAACCAGGAAGAGGATATGACTAGAAGTGGATATGGATCTGTGATACTCTATTGATGGTGCTTCCCAACCTGGGCACAACTTGTTGCTTATAAAATCACACGACATTGTGTATGCACAGCCCACAGATCAAGACTGAGCATTCTAAAGCTTATTTTTGGACTGTGGAAAAACAAGTGTTAGAAACTGTTGTAGTAGATCTTCTTACAGACAAGGTCTAATTTACAAATAGATTCCCTGACCCAGCAAAGGACTGAAGTACATGGTTTAAATGTGTAGATATTTTCCTCCTGATATTCAAATTTAGTAAAGACATTGAGCAGATTATTTAGGATTAAGATCATAGTGAGTTTGTTCCTTCCTCTGTTTCTTAATATTGTTGCTTCATTTGCACTGCAAAGGTAGTCACTTCATCAAAATTTGACATTAAATCTTCCTTCTTCTCCTTTCTTATTTTTTCTCCCTCAAATCACTTTCTAAAGTAAAAAAACAAGTAGGGACTGAGAAACATAGTAGCAAGTATTTCAAGGTTACTTTGGCATCCTAAATTGCTGAACAGTTGAAGTTGGCACTAGACTTTTATTTGAACTCTGGCAGTTTATTTCAAGTTTGGTGTGGTGGCCAGGCCAGGTCAGTTGGTCTGACCCGGGATGCCACGACCTTCCCAGAAAGAGCAGTCCCGCAAAAGACAGCCTTTGGGGGGGGTCTATGGCGATCCCTGGACACCAGGTAACCTCAGCCAGGGGCAGCCTATGGCAGCCTATGGCTGCAAGTGATTTCAGCTCAGTGATTTCAGCACAGTTATTTCAGCTCTGCTTGAGATTATCCTGGAACGACTCAGAGATAGAGAGAGGAGTGTTGTGTGGCGATTCCACAGAGATAGCTTTTATTGTCCAGAATCTCTGTGAAGGGTAGCCAGGGACAGGGGTCCCCTCCTGAACTGGGCAGAAGCTGGGGTTTTTATAGGGGAAGGCCAGGGTTGTACCAGGGGGGAAACCAATGGGTTACAAAGGATCAGCATAGTCACCAAAGCATGGTGGGATAGCTCACCATGACAAGAGACAATGGTCCCATCTAAGGAGCGTCTCTCCAGGAGAGGGTTGAGGTCAGCTTATTTTAACTTTTCTCTAAAATATCCTTTTTTTGTTTCTCTGATTCTGTTGCATTTCTTCTTTAGTTTTCTTTTTCTTACTTGATTTCTCAGCCTCCTTTGGACTGAATTCTTTTGGGATCCTCTCTCGTGGGGAGCCCTGCTTATTTCAGTTCTTATGATTTGAAGAAAACTCCCGAGCTCGTTAGAATCTTGTTTCTTGTGTTTATTAAAAGGTCGTCACAAAACTTGACAGTTTTTTCTAGGCTGGTTGCACAAGGTTATATCTTTGTAATCTGGTACATTTCTTTCTTCTGATGGTACAACAAGGCCTTGTGGCGCACTTTGTGTTTGATGCACAAAATGGCCATGAACAACACAGTTCTTTTATCTTTATACCTATTTTTACTCAATTAACAATAGACATGTATATTATTTTTCTTAATGATCCAATGACCCTTCACCTATGTGCTGCACTGTGGCATTTTCTGTCCAATCGCTTACTATTGCCCAAAAACTTCTAGAAGAACATGAAGAAGAAAGAAGAAGGGACAAGAGACAACACCCTATATCTTCTATCTTGTATCCTCTTCTCTAAACTAACTTTTTCACTCAGTGATTTAAGAAAACTCTCTAATCTACACACTTACACTTTTAGCTTCTTCTATCTAACTTTAACATTTGTTCTCATGTATCACCATGAAAACATGCTCATGAATTTCATGTTATATGAAATTCAGTGTTTTTCTGCATCTTAAAACTAAGTATCAGAAACAAGGGCACACACTCTGTATCTCAGACTCCAACACTTATCACAGTTCCCTCAGGGCACATTCCTCCAAGGGAAAACCTTGGGAGACTGACCTGTTTCCACATCAAGGCATTATTATTTTTATAAGAAAACGAAGGAGGGAAGGGGAAAGAAAATGAGATCTCTGGCCTATAACAACACTCGCTACTTAATTCTGTATTTCACTTGCTGTCTCTGACTCT